AATGATTTCAAGAACGACTAGTATGAAAAGTAAAATTAAAATTAGCGGAAGAGAAGATCTATTCTGTAGGCAAGTCATTAGTAACCTTGTTCTGAAAAGATAGCTCTCTTAAATTTTGCACAAAATGCTTGAAGACATTTTACAGTGAGGTTCACTGCGGTGTAGTTCATGGCAGAGTAAGAGGCAGTTTATGTGGTTAGGAAAGGAATATAATGTACATCACCAGACATGAACCTTTTAAGATCGTAAAGATCAGGGAAATACCCTAATAGGAGAGGGTTCCACAGAGAAACGGTTCTGGAGAAGAATCTGTTCACATGGAATTTACTTCTCACCAAAGGATTACGGAGGGAATATGGTTAGTTTGCTATTATGTAATTGGCATGGCGGATCCTAGCCGTAAAAATTATAACTGATGGAATCTAATAATGTAGTTCTATGGAAATAATGATAGAGCAATGATAAGTTTGTCACATTCCGCTTGTGAGACAGAGTCTGGGTGGTGGAAAATAATTTGTCACCTACAAGGAATCTGAGACGCTTTTGAGCTCTGTCAAAACTGGAAGTGAGGAATGGACAGCTTCCGCCCAAATATGTTCCAATTTAGGACTTATCTGTTTTTTGCAAGTTAGAGTATAACATGAGGAGTTAGGTAAAATGAACCGAACATTTTTTCTCCATCTTTACCAATCGATCGTGTATCCCAGTTCCACTTGAGGTCACGGGTGAGTTTAAGGCTCCAAATTCTCTTTAGACTCGTAGCTTTCCCGATGCGAACTCCATTCATCGTGTCTGCGGTTAGTTCGGGGTTCAATAAACGATGCTGGGTGTCATTAGTTTGGTTTTCGAGGTATTGAATGTAACTAATTATTAATATAAATACGCGTATACTAGTTCACTTGCTACGTAATAGCGTAAATTCTAAATATATTCAAGAGTTCTGAGTTGATGAATAAAACAAACCAAATAAAATAAGAAAGAAATGCTACTAATTAGACCAATCTTACATTAATGTTGACAACTATATGTCAGACCAATGTATGATTGTTAAAACAGTAGGTACCCACGATAAAAATGAACGGCCATGTATCTGTGACCAAGGCTGGCTTTCATGCTGGAAGACATCAGAAACGGTTTGGTCAAAAGATGAATGGGCTCCGGCAAGTCTAATTCTCTATGTAAATATACGCATGAATGAATAATTCTCAGCCTTTTAACCTAAGAAGAGACTGGTTAGGCCCACACATGCGCAGCGGCCACATCCGGTTATTGTACTGATGATGATGATGATGATGATGATGATGATGATGATGATGATGACTGATATAACTAAATAAGCTTTCTTACTTTTATGACAACCCGGCATATATGTAAAAGAGAAAGCTGTGTCATAAATATCGAAGGCTGTTTGCAAATATCTGATATAGGATTTTAAAAAATGCACTAGAGATCGCAATGAGAGAATCATCAAAGCTACACGTAAATGTACAAATATTAAACAAAAAAAAACTGCAACAAACACGAGAACAGCGAGTAAGTGAGATAAGAACAGAAAACATTCCAGAAAAGCACAAAGAAAGAAAATAAAGAGATAAACCTTTACAAATATTCTTGAACATTTTTAGGGATTGAACTCTTCAAAAAAGGAAAAAAAAATCTTTATATAATAATAATAATAATGCCAAATAAATCTGGAAAATATAATGAAAACAAATGTGGGAAATTGATGCTCTCCTAGAAAATAAAAACCAAAATAAGCTAAGCTGAAACAATCATATTGGTTGCGTCAGATATATATGGACAAGACAAATGTACGCAAATTCATACATATTTCTCGAAATGTGGGAAATAAATAATACAGAAACAAAATACCAGAAACGACAAATGAGAAAACTGGGAATTGGAAGTTTACGCAAATCTGCACAATATTGAGTGCACCTAAAATTATGCAAGAAACATTGTAAATTGACCCTGCTCTGGCATCTCGTCTACAGTCACTTTCTCACAGACGCGCCGTCGCCTCTCTCTGTCTGTTTTACAAATACTTTCATGGCAATTGCTCCGAGGAGCTGCATTCGCTGGTTCCCAGACTTCATGAGTTCAAGCACCCTACGAGGCTGGCATCTCACTCTCACCCTTTCACTGTCGTCCCTTCTACTCCAACAGCTTCTCGCACCTCTCGCCTGTGGAACTCCCTTCCCTATTCCAGTTTCCCTGAGAGCTATAATCTCCAACTATTCAAATGTAATGTCACTCGACATCTCCAGTGGCCTTGATCTATCCACCACCCTTCGACTCATCCTTTCTTCTATCACTCCTATCTTATCTTGCTCCAAATTTTTCTGTAACCCCTTGCGTTCTAGTGACTTCTCGCCTTGCTTGGGGTGAAACGCTTAAAAAAAATGACATTGTAGGAAGAAAATTCATATACTGAGAAAGGTGCTGGTAATTTAACGTAGAAGTAGAACACTGAGCCCCTCTCGTCATCAACTCCACATTTGCGAACGAATGGCAAGGATGTCCATGTCAAGACAGAACTTTCTACATTCAGTCGAATCACTGAACAACTGAGCACATAATCAGGGTCTTTTCCAGTATGTGTTTATTGATATTCTTTGTAGACCGAAGAATTTAACTATAATTGTATTAAAAAAAAATAACAGTTCTTTGTGTAACATGAAATTGTAACCATGTTGATGGGAACTCTTGGAAAGATCCAAAGTTATTGAAAAAAGAATTCCTTCGAAAATTGAAGTCATCCGTTATTAAATCCAGCTAGAATAAAGAAAGGATTGATGATAATTTAAGAAGAATTTTTTTTAACAATCATGATCACCATCTAAAAGGCTCGCGGGCTACTCAAGATAGAGGCTTACTGAATAAAATGTATAGTTTATGCGGATATGGAGAATACATTGGTTAATCTTAGACATGCATACGTTAAGATTGTAGTGATCGGAAAAGTATCCTCTTGGGACTTGGTTCCACAAAGCAGCGGTTTGTGGGAAGAAATTTCTTAAATATAACATATCTAACCAATGGTATAGGAAAGGAATGAAGATGCTTCGCGACAATATGCATGGAATGGTGAATCTTCCCCATGAACATAAAACCTGTTAGAACTAAGCAATATATTTCGTCTGAACTATTTTCCACGGATATAGCGATAAGGTAAATAGAAGCTTGCGACTTTTAGTCTGTGAGAAAATAATTTTTCACCCACAAGTATCCGGAGAAACTTTTAGAAACTTTATTGAGATTGGAACATCCATTCTTCGTGATAGGTGATACTTCTGGGTTCAATCGACGATGATAGAACGTCACTAGTTTGGTTGATGAGGCACTGAATGTAACCCCAGCCAGTTTTTCCCCACTGAACTAGGTCAGTAGAGAGATCAATTGCTCTGATCAATTAGAGTTTAGGAGGTACGTCCATTATCGTTATGTCGTCAGCATAGATATTCCCAGAAGATCAAAGTATACTCTTCGAAAAATCGAAAGTGTGTGGGTCCGAGAAGCGAAACATGGGGGAGAGCTGCATTGATTTCCATCGCAATGAAGGACAGATTTCAGTGACAATCAAGAGCAGACATTCCTTGCAAAAAAATGATACTGATAAAGAACAATGAAAAAATAACTGCAAATTTAAGAATGATTTTTAAAAGTTTTTTCTCTTCTAAAAAACAATACTGACTTGTATATAAAAACCGATGGCTATAAAGTGATTTATAATGAATTGACAAATATTTTAGCAACAAGTTGTAATAGCAAATCCGATAAAGGTTTAGGCAGGATTTAAACAAGGTTTAATGTTAATGCACTTTTTTTTTCAGAAACTGTAGAATTTATTAACACTTAATTACAGATATCCCAAAAATAAATTCACACAGGACTGGGGAAACGAAACAGTATGAATGAATAGAGAGACTTTACATTAATTAATAATAATCCGATAAACATGTTTGCGCTAGATGTGAACAATTTAATGATATCTCCATGAAACAAATGAAATCAAATATATTCACATTTTACTCTTTGAAGAACGTAATTTGAAAGCGTCATAAACACGTTTATGATTTCATATCTATACCTCTGATTTATTGCCATGGGCCCAACAAAATATAGGGAGAGCACAATAACATCGCTGCATTGTACAATGTTTCGGCTTTTCTTTTGATTTGTTTTTCTAGCAAAGCTCTGTCAATACAAGGCCAAGAGTCACTTGAAGGAGTGTGGACGAGATATAAACGAAAGAGGGAGAATTAGAAAGTAAATTTAGGAATTATATGGCGGATATATAACGGTTGGCCATGGAATTAAAGAGTTTAATCTTGTAGTGAGCTGGGATGAATCAATGTTGGTGATTTTTACAAGAAACAAGTGTTTTTTTTCTTCTTTTTTTATAATAGAGTTGTAAGGGTAATACCCCTGCATGATGTACCCTTAATTTCTTAGGTTGTGCTGACAGATGTATATTGTCGCCCAGAAAACATACCTTGCAACACACATCTCTCTCAGCATAGCTGAAACTTGTTAATCTCTCTCTCTCTCTCTCTCTCTCTCTACATATATATATATATATATATATATATATATATATATATATATATATATATATATATATATATATACACGCATGCTCACACACATAGGGGAGTTTAAAAAAACAGCGGCTCCTACTGTTGTTAAGCATTAGTCTTCAAGTATGAATTGAATTCTCCGAGCCGCTGGCGTATTTCATACAGAGAAAAATGTTGAAATTCCTTTCTTCTCTGCCGTGCGATGATGGTCTACTGGCAAGTTATCTCACTGATGTCAAATTAGTCGGTTTCGATCCCAGCTTGAAGCAATCGGACGCCTAGCCAAACTGAGGAGCTGTGATACAGCGAAAAACACACACACACACACACACACACACACACACACACACATATATATATATATATATATATATATATATATATATATATATATATATATATATGAAAATTAACCCACGTATGCGTCAGAGACGCTTCAGTATTAAATTCTCGGTCATATGTTGCGATCGCAAGGCGAATATTCGAAAAAATAAGAATAAATTTATTATCTCCCCAAGTTCACACGTATCACTGAGCACAATCTGAGTAATATTATAGTCACAGCACAGGGGATCCCTATACTTATGAAAGGCCTTGCCCCTAAGAAAGCCACTGATCCAGAAAAATTCCGTTGGTTGTCCTTCATCAACTCGGAATTATCTCCAATCATAACAAAGTTATTGGACAGATGCTTGAAGGAGAAATCCTTCCCAAACCTGTGAAAAGAGTCGAGTGTATGCCGAGTTTTCAAGAAAGCTTGCGTGCGATATCCCTCCCCCCCCAGTATAGACTCATCAGTCTCCTCAATATTGCCAGTAAGCTCTTTGAGGCCATAATCAATAAAAAAAAGTATCTAGAAAAGAACAAACTCTTCAACGACGAGCCGTGTGCGTTTCGGTCGACCATCACTCACAAAATCAGTGAGACTCTTGACGACAAACACAACTCGAGAACCATAGCACTAGATATATCAAAAGCCTTTGACAAGGTGTGGCACAAATGCTTACTACACAAGCTCTCCAGTTATGTTATCACTGGAAGGGTCTTCTCAATCATCAAATCTTTCGTAAAAGGTCCGTGAAGGTGGTTATTAATGGCCAGTCCTTTTGAGCCCTGGATGTCAATGCAGTTGTCCATTACGGTCACTTCTAGGACTAACCGTCTATTTCATCCAGATAGATGATGTGCCTAAAATATCCACAGATCATTCGTAAACATATATGACAGACCTATATCCGGGCGCAACTATAAAACTCTCTCTTCCGATCTTGCACAAAATACCCAATAGCATAAAAACTGCTTCGAAAACCAAGCTTGTTACGTTCCATTATCACAAATCTGACACCGAATTACCACCAATCTTGATGACCGGAGGTGCTCTCGTGGAAGCACCGCGCCGTAAAAAACTGTTGGTTCTCAAACTAACACCGGTTCTCAAGTGGAACTCATACATTCGATCCATTGCTAAGGATGCAGGTAATATGGTCGGCTCCCTGTAGCACTTCAGTAAGAAACTGACACCTCCTGTTATACTCTGTCTTTACAAGAGCCAGATTAGACCCAAAATGGAGTAGACCACACTCTCTAGCCTTGATAGAGTTCAAAAGCGTCTCCGAGCTCTTGTGGGTGACAAATTATTCTCTACCCTTCCACCACTTTCCCACAGGTGAAATGTAGCTAGCCCCTCACTGCTTTACTGCTACTTCCACGGAATGTGCTTGGACGAACTACATACTTTGGTCCCGCCAATTTAAACCTTCATAGCAAGAACACGACATGCCAGTTATATAGAGGCATACCACCCCCATTCCCTGTGTATCCCATCAGTGAGAAGTAAGTTCCACTCGAACTGTTTCTTCCCGCGAACTACATGATGATTCCCCGATCAACGCAATTTTAAGCTGTTCAATGTTAGGGTTAACCGTTTTCTTCTACTCCGATGAAAAAAAATGGCCTCCTAACATAACACTCTTCCTTGAGTGGCCCCCGGGCATTGTAAAGTGTGTATCTCGATGTAAAAAAAAAATAATAATAAAAATAAAATGATGGTTGGAACGAAAAGTAAACATTGGGGGACGCGTATGTTGACCGCTTGGATATCGAAGGATTGGCTGTTAACAACTAAATTCAGGGTCGTAACAGTTTTTTATTAGTCTCATAATATTTGCGAAGATGTATTTCACAGGAACAGTAATATTAGAAAGGAACTTTATTTTAAAATAACTTCTTTGGAAAAATTCAATGAAAATAATTTGTTAAAAAGTTCCAATGAAATCGAAATGAAAATAAAAGTTATTTCTTTTATCATATATAATCTGTAAACTTGTTTTATTTATTTTTATTAATCAACATTTTGGGGATAAGATACCGTATCTGACACCATATGAGACGCACGGGTGAATCAGACGCACCCCAATTTCAGAAGGGCAAATCAAGAAAAAAATTTAGTAATTAAAAAATTATTAGTAAATGGTACAGCCTAGTATATATTTATGAGGTATTATTTTGGTTAAACCAGTCATGATTACAATTAAACGAACAATAATAGGGAAAAAGAACACGAGCCTATAAAACTTTGTTATATTTTTTATATGATCTGTACAGCCTTCGTTCTGTTAAACATCATATTGCAATAATTAGGATATAACAATTTTGATTGTATTTAGAACAATGCAATCCGAAGTTGTCACAAGAAAATATATTTTACAAATATATAATTTGAATTTATTGCATATATTTTTTGTGAAACAAATTACTAATATTAAACACGATGAAATTAATATAATGAATATTATCAATGATAAAAATTTTAATCTGCATAATATCCTTTTAAATAATGGCAATAGGTATATGAAAGTTACTCCAAAGTCTAAGCTAATAGAAGTTACTAGGTAGGTTATTTTTGGCCGACTGTCGCGAATTTAAAACCTAAATATGTCATATAAGACGCAGGGGTACATATTTAGCAAAAGATTGTGCGGCTTATATGCCGTCAAATACGATCTTTCGAGTAGGAAAGACAATTGAAACTTCAGTTAGTGAAAGCCACTTGTAGCTAGTTTTACTAACCTAAGAGAAAAGCTGAAACCTCAAAGCCCTTGGCCTTTTGTATTATCTTCACCTCCTGATCTCTCTTTTGTCAGCCCCTGTCAATCGTGCTGTTTTTAATCCTCTCTTCTATCGTCCGAATCTCTACCCACCATCATCCACCACTTCCAAACCTAACTGCCTCTTCCAACTCCTTCTTTTATCCCTTCGTTTTAATTCAATAAACTGGCCTTCTCTTCTTCTCAGGCGTTATATTCTCTTAATTAGTTTTCCTTTCTCTTGCCACCCCACCGCGCCACCGAAGGCAGGTCTCGCCATCCGTCACCGCACCATTCCTATTTCTTTTACTTGTTACCCGTGTTCTAACATCTTGCTATGACTTTTTGCGTCCCCTTTAGATAAACATAAATATATTCGCCTCTTCCTCCCTCTTTCCACAGCTGGTTCTAAAATCCTTGCCTTGGTTTCAACTGTCACCCGAGACGTCAATGAACAGTAGACGGACGCTCATGTGTGGATAGTTTTGTTTGTGTGAACTGACGGGTGATTTCCGTGTTAAGTTTTTAAATTTGAACGGAGCCAAGTCAGACACGAGGATATATTTGAGAAAGTCACTTGAAAAAATATAGATTTAAGTTTAAATGTATTTTGTGTTATTTCCGATAATCCAATACCTGCATAATGATAGATAAGTAAATGAAAAGCTAGACAACAAAATTAAAATACACAAGACAACAAATTTTCTTCTCAGATTTATTTAAACTACAAAGTAAAGAGAACATAATGTTATATCAGGAATTATTATCGCTGGGCACACTCAACAACTCAAGATATACAGATGATCACGTGTTGAGTTCAAGCAAGGAAAACAATTGCAAATAATTGTAGATAAGTTAGCAAATGAAAAATAGAAATTAAGGACAAACACATAATTGTATAAATAACAGGCCTGACGATTGCATATCGCATGAAACAGACTGTCGCCTCTAAGTGTTGACTTCTATATATATATATATATATATATATTCTTGGGAGAAAATAAATATGATCAAGTGGAAAAGTATTTTATTGAGGCACGCATCGTTTTTTAAGAGTTCATCGGAATATATATGTTACGATGACAATGGGAATTTAAAGATTATATTCTCATTGTGTTGGTATATAATGTAGCCAAAATGATTTAGATTCTTTTTTCCTTTTGTTTTCATGACCTTTGTAATTATATATGCCGCACTATGTTAATAGAATGCCTCCCAGGAATCGTGAAATATTTCAAGAGACAGGTTGCAAATTTACACTGATCAAAGCACTCACTAATTGTTTTCATCTTATTAAATATTTCCCTTGATATATAACAATTTGCATATCGTTATCACATGTAAAATATGAATATATATATATATATATATATATATATATATATATATATATATAAATCGAGAAATTAGTAAAATAAATCCGTAAATATTTGCAATTGCTATCACTTGACTTAAAATATTTTTGCCCTTCCTTGCCTTTAAAGGAGTGCCCTTTGCCGTGCTGATGTTGCTACATGCCTTACTTCTTCCCTATCTCACACTGCGAATCTTTTCTAAGCTCTATACTAAACATTAAATCCGTTACGAAAAAAGAACTAAACAAAATGAACACAAAACCATCAGCTTTAAAAAAGGACTCGTAACTGGAAAAAAACGAATGAAAAAAGAATGTTAACAACAAATACCTTTGCACACCCAACCCAGTTCTGTGGAAACAGAATCAACGTTGAGTTTAACAAGCGAATGAGCTAATTTGAGTCAAGTGCCATGCAGATTAAAATTTTTCCCACTTTTGACGAATGCAGCTATCGAATTTTTTTGCATGCTAGCATGCTAGTTAACATTCGTGTCAGTCAGCTCTTGCTCTCACGCTGGCCAATAGAATATTCCTGCCTATTCGTGGCAGCCAGCTATTGGCTCTCACTCTGGACAGTAGAAAATGGCCGCAAACTACATGAAAACTGCCCTAGAAGCATGAAAACATCGATTATCCCCACTATCGATGGTAGTTGGGAAATGCAACGTCGTTCTTGGCCTTTCCGCTAACTTGGAACATGTGCATGTAAATTCTGGTGCAAATCTGTCGAAAATTGCGGCCGTTCATTCGTTACAAATACACATCCTGCCTTTTATATATATATATATATATATATATATATATATATATATATATATATATATATGGTGCGATGGGTAAATTATCGCTTCTTTATATTTTTTAATTTCACACATAGGCGATTTTGTTTCCATTTGTTATTTCTTCGACTACACAGTATAGTAGGGTCAGTTCGGCACCGCCTGTGATAAAAAGTGCACCATGACGCAATTTTCTCCGCCAGAATTTTCGGTATGCTGTACTGTTTGGCATATTCACCGGAAGATCAATTGCGAACATTTCAGAGTGTTTGGGTGTTTATAGAAGATTCGGAAAGAGTTGGATGAGTCTAATTGTGATTACGAAGATACAGCAGCTCGCAAAACTCGCTCTGATCGCTGTGATGAGAAAAGAAATCCCGAATTTTTGGGTTAGGGCCCCATGCTGAACACGCAAGCCTACATCAAGTGGTTTGAGAAGTATGTGCTGCCCATTGTAAAGAGGGTGGCAGATGGAAGATCGTATGTTTTGCAACAGGACTCTGCACCATGTCACAGAATCAGGTAAACCAAGTCATGGCTGTCAAACTACTCTTTAAATCTGACCATTTATCGCAGACAGTAGCCACCTTGATTATAATATGTGGGGTGCATTTGGTTGAAAGACCAACAAAATCCCTTTTAACACGAAAGATGAACTGAAGGCAAGAATTATGGCAATATTCACCAACTAAAGCAAGGAAACGGTTCAGAAGATATGCAGGGAATTCCGAAGTCGTGCGGAGGCCGTAGTTAACAAGTCTACTAATTGACCCATAGCTGGGAGTACAAGAGGTGGATTCATACTTTCTGCATTGGTATTTTGCTGTAAATAAACTTAGTGAACCCAAAGGTATTTGGTACTTGGCTCTCAGATTACCAGTTTCATGCCATAATCCATTACATCACCAAGCTGAGAGCACCTGGCATTCCCAAACGGTCCCCCATCTAGGTACTGACTGACCATGCTTGACGTTGCTTAACTTCGGTGATCGGACAGTAGGCGGTGTTTTAACGCCGAACTTTCTGGACACATAGTGAGAAAAAAGGGCTTGGCGAATTAAACACTCAGAGGATATATTGAATTCAAGAGAGACTGAATGAAACACTTAAGATCGTCTGTAAATGGATGCGAGAACGTGACTGTGACTCACAAACATTGATAAAAGCTATAAGGATAGATATGTAATTGTGGAGTGTCCTGGTCACCCAAATCCTCATTCGTAAATGGGCATTATTTTTAATAATTGATTTGATAGCTTGTCCAAATCTTAGGTGTCTACCTGCAGCTTAGAGACAGAACATTTTCTTCAGCATATGAGCTGTTCCAAGAAGTGGTGCCACTTGCCAATTTCCATTATTATTATTATTATTAATGATAATAATAATAATAAATAAATTAATTAATTTCCATAATAGTTTTCTTGATGGGAATCAGCAGGATTTCTTGCGCATTTTCATTTTGTTTTTGCCAACTAACATTTGTCTGCTCGAGAAGTGGACACGTAATATGAGAAGAAGTTATTAACAAATGGAAATCTTTTGAACAAGCTAGACAGTTATAAACTATGGTTTCCTTATCTAATTGGCTGTTAAATTACAACTCTTTACATATAGGCACATAACGTCTGCCTATTTTGACCTCTGATATACGTGAACGTTGGTCAAAATATCTATTTACTTCGTTTTAATGTTTTGTTTACGTCAGCAGTAGCCAGGTATTGAACTCACAACTCATGTCTCAGTGGAGAAAAAAGTTGGGTGGATCCAATCACTTGACGCAAAGAGTTTTGAGTTCAATACCTGGCTATTGCAGAGGTGAAAAAAAAAAAAAAAAAAAAACCTCGTGAGGGAAGATAGGCACCCGGAAGAGGCATGGCACGTGGAACTAGAACCATCTACCCCGGTGGACGAAATAAAGGGATCAGTTCTAAATTTCAATCACCTGAAGAAGGCCGGAGCGTACAACGGCAGAAATGTCGGGAATATGGCAACAAAGATGAAGATAAGAGTACGAACAATGTATATAGTGTAATACCTCAACTCAGAAATATAGATAAGCATTCACAGTTTGTGTTTATTTAAGTATATTTTTCTTGTCAACTTCCGTGTTTTAAAAACATTTATTATGTTATAATTAATATTTCATGCTTTTCTTTGTTTGCTGTGTTGGTATTTTCTTTGTTAGTGTGTTTATGTTCATAAATTCAGTTTTATCTTAGATCTTAAGTTTTTCCCCACTGAGATATTAGGTTTTATCTTTATATTCATTAATGTTGCTTGAATTTGTTTTGATTTTGATCTCTGTGGTTCTTCCGAAATTTGGTGAAATTTCACTCTGCAAGTTAAGTAAGTTTGTTTGCTAGTGTTACATTGACTATTTAAACGTGTACTAATTCACAAACTGTTTATTAATATCAATCACGTTACAGGAATTCCTCAACAAAAACGTATGCAGAAAATATCGTCCTTCTTATTCCTTAGTGACATTAAACACTCCTAAATATAGAGGAACACAGACTTACCACACAAGTAGATAGACTGGATTATTTGCTGCGTATTTTGAAAGCATATTTCGTAGAATTTCTTCAGACTCATTTGCAATAAACTTAAATGCAGAATATATAAATCTATTGCTGATATCGTAGAATATCAGACTGGAGAAATACTAAAATATCCGTATTGGTTTAAAGAGCAATATGATAAAATGGAAGTAATGTTCATTTAGAACGTTTCGAAAATACTTATAAAAAAGGATGATGTACTGGAAGAGGGCAATGAATACAATTGCTTACAACTGATGATAACATTAGGGAAATATGATGAAAACGAAAAAAATGAATCACATAGGAAAATGAAAAAGGAGAAGTCACATCAGTATGAGCGGTAATAGGAAAAATAGAGAAAAAGATGAATGGTTTTTCTTTCAGTCGTCAGAATGCGATCGAAGAAAACCAAATTAGTTGTGTACTACGACTAAAAAGGAGATTGAGGGCACGAAATGCACATATACCAACATATGTATATTTATGTAATAAGCTAATCATATTGATAACCAAAACTAATTCTTTTTGTTTACGTAAAGAAAGTTGTTTAAATTTAATCATATTGTTTTCCAGAACGGCAACGTTAATATCTGAATGAGGATAGAGCAATGCACAAACCCTACCCTTTTGGAAGGCCATAGCTCATTTCTGATTGTTAATTATATACTTAGAGACTTCAAACCCGGATATACTGAAACACTGACGCAAATTTTGAAATTGACATTACGAATGTATAGAGAAACAGACTGACAAATGTTCTTCTCTAGTCTTTGTGCATTTCTACTCTTTATAGCCAAGCAATATGTTTGAAACGAAATAATTGAAAATATTTAATGCGGACACGGACAAATATATAATGAACAGTGCTTTGTTGACTTAAATTACCGGATTTTAATTACAGTAAATAATGTAAATACTCCGAATCAATGGAAAGAAAATAATAAGAATGACACTAAGAGATAGACAGATTGAAAATAAAATATAAATGGAAGATACAGAAATAAATGGAAATGGTTAAAAAACATGGAAAAGCGAGAAGGATAACAAACGGTTGCCCAAATCAAATTCAATTCAGAGAGATGAGATAGATGGATATTTATTCGAAGGATAGAGTAGAGACTGATATTTCTTATGGAAAGGGAGAGGGGAAAGACCTTCGTCCCGTAGCAGAAATTCTCAAGGGCAGACGATTATGATGGGTAGGTTCTTCTTTATTGGCGTATCAAGGTGTTTAATGTATACACGCATATGAGTTACACTTATAAATATACATATTAATGTTCCATCAAAAAATGATTGTATGTAATAAAAAAAATCTTTGAATTGCAAATTCTACGAATCATCCGTGTGTAATATTTAATATATTGCAATTCACACATTTTCGTGATTGTTTATATAATTGAATTCGTACATTAAATAAGCAGCGATAATTAGTTCGATTCAAAAAAGCTTTTTATGGTATGAAATGAAATAACGCCTATCAACACGTCCAGCAATAATCATCCAATCGTGTATCTCAACGGGTCACTACTTCAAATAAAGTCTTTTTTTTCATTCATTTTGCACCCTAGCCCAGAATTTAAGAAATGTCTGAATGATCAGCTCTTGCTTCATTTAAAAAGGATTCCAAATATAAAATTTGGAGATATTTTCAGTGATTTCCTTTTGTGTAATTACTCTGAATTTACATGAATCATATATAGAACTAATGCCGACACTATGACCCCATGGAAGTCAAATGATAAAATTAATTTTGTCTCTAGGAAGTAATAGAAACGACCTCTTCTGACAGCAGTCTAATATATGTACCCAAATGCAATTAAGCATATTTGAACTATTCAGAAAAAATCGATGAGATTCGATTAAAAAAAATAATCACATTTCTGGAGCTAATGGCAACATATAAATATGGAGACTTCAATCAAGGTTACCGTTAAACGGGAATGTTTAGTCAGATTGTCGGCCTGACATTCAACCAATCAAGATTCTGTTTCTCATTTTAGAACTCACATTATAATTACAACACAGCATAGCTAAAAGTTCCCATTCATCATAATAGTAATATTACAAATAGCATTAATACGGACACTCACGCATAAAATTCAAATTGGATTGAAATAAAAAAGATTTATTTACTAGATTCAATCAACCAACTTATACGTCATATGCAAGAAGATATCTTGGAATACCTGATTTATTTTCCCAGTGAGAAATACAGAATACATTCAATATTTCTTATGTAAAATTAGTCTAAAAATCTTTTACAATGTTACATTTGATAACTTAGCTTCTATCATCATTCATATTGGCATATTAACTTTTTGAAATAAATGGTTAATATTTACAGAACTCCGGTGAAGAGTCGATGCCAAAACAATGAAGAATATTGTATTCGTCGCGCAATAATATAGTTTTCAACAAGCAGCATCTTTCAGCTATATTACTGTATACAGCGTAAATGTATTCTTATTACACATTGGAAATAATAGTGGAATATTTAGGAGAACTTGTATCACACAACTGGTTTAGATGTAACAGAATTCTTCTAGATTATATGTCCCAGTTAACCTCAGACATCAGACACGTCTATGAAAAAAAAAAACAATAATGACGTGTATGCTTTATTACTCACCCCCCTACACATTTTTTCGACGCAACCTACGAATCTGTGAACTAAAAAACAATTCAGTGAATATTTCAAGCAAGATAAAAACGATATATAAACACAAAAATATTTTGCAAATAGAAAACTGTAAGAAACAGGTTTTTGTATATGTATATGTGCCAATGTGTGTCTAAACCGATTAACCATTATGTGCCAATGTGTGTCTACACCGATTAACCAATATGTGTCACTGTGTGTCTACACCGATTAACCATTATGTGACACTGTGTGTCTACACCAATTAACCAGTATGTGTCACTGTGTGTCTACACTGATTAACCATTATGTCCAGCTGTATGTGTAGATGAACTGTGGGTGTGTATTTCATTTTGATATGCTGAATTGCTCAGTTATAGCAAAATGTTGAGAAATGTTGAAAGCTTAATTCTTATATTTGCATAGCGATCTCAGAGCAATTTCAAATCGGTACGGTGTATTCACATCTTTATCGGAAGAGTGGAAAATGTCTTTACTACCTAACAAAAAATCGTTAGAGATTAAGGAAACACTATCATGGCAAGAGATTTTTTTCTTTGTTTTCACGACTGCGTAATGTCTATAAATGTAATAATATTGTTCTAAATATAGAGGAATGCTTTCAGAAACATCACTGTGTTGTTGAGATGCAAATTCCACCCTTTATGGGATACATTGCAGTATTTGCGGAGTCAACAACTGACGAGTTATAGCAGTTTGCGGGTGCACGAAGGGTCAACAACCATGCATGTGTTTTTTCGTGTAAGTTCGAATTTGCGAGTATTTGTGTTGTGCTTCCATCTATTTACGTGCATGCGTGTGTGTGGTTGATTGGTTGATTATGTTTAGCGGCATACCCACCTCTATAGGTCAATTGATGCCCAAATATATATATATATATTACGTACATATTTTCTTTTTAGATAGTAATGTTTTTAGTGATACAAATTTTATTAAGTAACCCATACTTGGGTGATGTGTTGGATTCATAAGTTTCTCAATGGTATTTGCACGTAAGTGAATGTAACAAATTAGGTATTCCAATTAACAATTACGAGTCCATTTACATTGCACTAAATACACATTCAAGAATGAAGCACCTTGTATTCCCAATTGGTCACCCATTTATATACTGAACAGGCTCGACGTTTCTTTACTTCAGCCATCCTAAGTAATCCTGTGTTTCTACTTGATTTGGCTGTAACCGCCTCTCTCTCTCTCTCTCCTTCTCTCTCCTCCCCTCTCTCCTCCTCCCCCTCCCCTTCCTCTCTCTCCCTTCTCTCTCCCTCCCTTCTATCTCCCTCTCTCCCTCCTTTCTCTCTCCCTTCCTTCTCTCTCCATCTCCCTCCCTTCTATCTCCCTCTCTCCTCCTTTCTCTCTCCCTTTCTTCTCTCTCACTCTCTCCCTCCCTTCTATCTCCCTCCCTTTCTCTCTCCTCCCTCCCTCCCTTCTCTCCCATCTCTCCCCTCCTCTCTCCCTCCCTTCTCTCTCCCTCCCTTCTCTCTCCCTCCCTTCTCTCTCACTCCCTTCTCTCTCACTCTCTCACTCCTCCTCTCCCCTCTCTTTGTGCTCGTACATTTAAGTATACGCCTCGATAATTGGCTTTATATTTATTTATTTTTTATAATAATTCTTTTGAAAGTGTGTGTGAGTTTCCGGGTAAATTTGAATGTCAATTAAGCGAGTCAAAAAAGAAAAGGAATACAAATAACAAAAAAAAAAAAAAAAAAAGAAAGAATAAAAAACTACATGAATAACAAAAAAAAGAAAGGTTGAGAATTCTCTGGTAACTGTCAATTAGAAATAATATGACCAGCAATGAAGACACTGAAAGTCAGGGAAGGTCCGACAGTGGTAACGATAGAGAGAACTTGCACTAGATGAAGAGAGATGAAGAGTAAAATGATTTTCTTCCCTAATTATTAAATCTCCCATTTTGTGCCATGACCTCCCTACAGAGATATTTTGACATTTAGAAAAGATTTTCCTGATTGTTTGATAAAAGTGGTCCAACTTAGAGAGGCGAATATTGCCTTTCTTCTAAATTGAGTGCTTCAAAAAGTCTCATCGGTTTACCATTTAGGAGAAAACTTTGGGGCATTTCTTTTGACATGAGAATCTAAACTGTAACAGGATATTTTTTTCTTGGCGTCCGCAGTTCTCTCATTCTTTATTTTATGAAGATCATAAGAACACAGCAGTTTTATTAAACCATCCGAACAAAACCGAACAGAGTTAAAAAAAAAAAAAAAAAATACGCCGAGTGAACAGTGTGGAATACATATCCAGTCAATTTCGAGGAATATCGACAAGCAGGCATAAATAAAAGACAAGGAGAAATAAACCAACAACGGTCGATATGTATGAAATTTACTGCAGAGATCATATTTACTTGACATCAAGGTTCAACAATCAAGAATCTAGCCTCAAACATCAAATATGGGTGGGGCATAGGGTTTAAATATGTAAATATATCAAACAGAAAAATGCCAAAGCAAGAGAGAAAAAGATTGAAGAGACGATATATATATATATATATATATATATATATATATATATATATATATATATATATATATATATATATATATATATATATATATATAGAGAGAGATAGATAGAGAGAGATAGATAGATAGATACGAATAAACAGTAATAGATAGAGTGTTAGATAAATAGATAGATATATACTTACATAGATATGAATAAACAATGATAGATGCATACAAACATACATATGAATAAACAGTGATAAATACATACAAACATACATACATACATACACTTATATGGATAGATATGAATAAAGAGTGATAGATAAATACATACATACATATATATGAATAAACAATAATAGATAGATAGATACATAGATAGATAAACAGTGATAGCTAGCTAGCTAGCTAGATAGATAGATAGATAGATAAAAGATTCATTGTTAGAAAAAAGAAGAAAGATAAATAGGCAAGCAGAATAAATTAGATAACCTAATAGAAAATTATAGAATCATATGATCTGCCAATTCTGAAGCATTAGATCGGCCATGAATACGTTTTCACTTGAGGCAAACTAATGGAACTGACTATGAAAGGAATATTAAGTAAATAATCGAAAAATAAATGTAAGAAAAATTCGATTGACAAAGAGAAAAAGAAACGATAATATGACAAACAAATGCCGAAGATAAAAAAAAGAGCGAAGGCGGTGTTAACGTTGACGAAAAAGCAATGAATCAAGAGCGGCAAAAGAGAAAAGAGGGAAAAGCGAACAAGTGGAAATAGAGGTAATGTGTGATAAAAGGAAATTATGCCTTTTACTGAGGAGATATGTCAGTTTTTGGTTACGAGTAATCTCCCCTTTCCGGAAGTCAAAATATGAACAAATGTGAACACTATTTAAATGCGAAAGGATTACTACAGTACATAAGGGAAACCTTCAGCTCATTTTCAGAGCAGGGACTGGGCTTTTTTACAAAGTAATTTCATATCTAGCCATACAGACATATATACATACATACATACATATATATATATATATATATATATATATATATATATATATATATATATATATATATATATATATATATGTATGTATGTATGCATTTATGTATGTATGTATGTATGTATACATATTGTAGAAATTTTTATGTGTTCATGATGTAAGTATGTTTCGGTAGCAATAGAGCGTTTGTAGCTGTATATTGTCTGGTTGAAGGAAGATGAGAAGGGCGATATTATACTTACAACCGGAACAATACTTCAAGGAGTAAACAAATTAATTTAAAAAAAATAAAATATCAGGAGGAGAAATATTCTTAAAAATGAAACCTAGATGGAAAAAGTCGGTTTGCTCCTATGCTCAATTCACAGAGGGCAAAAATGACATTCAGATTCTTTTGAGGCGTGAAAATGACTGTCACTATATATATATATATATATATATATATATATATATATATATATATATTCAGTCGCATAGATATGAGTTTGTAAATCCTGGGTTTCACTATATGTTTATATCCATGAGATTTAATGTGTTATCTCTATCACTGACATTGAACACTATCCAAAAAGTACCGCGCATATATAATATATAGAGCAATTATATATATATATATATATATATATATATATATATATATATATATATATATATATATATATATGTGTGTGTGTGTGTGTGTGTGTGTGTGAGAGAGAGAGAGAGAGAGAGAGAGAGAGAGTTATGCGTGTTAGTGTGAGTGAGTAAGTCTATGTGTGTGTGCCTGTGCGAGTGTGTCGATAGTAATAGATAGATAGATAGATAGATAGATAGACAGACAGACAGATAGCGAAAGAATGATGCTATTGTTGTAGATAAACTGTTAACAAGAGAATCGTATTTGGTTTTGACACTCAAGACTCAATTAAAAATCTTCGCTCGACTAACTGATGTTGAGGGAAATATATTCGTTGACGAAATATTTCCCAGCATGTATTTGATACAAATATTTATATAATAAATGCGAATGTCAGTGTGTCACTGTGTCTCATTTTTCAACTTCACTCCTAGCGGCCGTAGCCCAAATTATCATACTATTTTTGAATCAGGCTAACTCCGTGAGCAAATTAAAAAATTGCGGTATCTGGACCAGCAATCCTGAAATTTTTAATTCTGAATTTTTCAATACTATGATTGTTTTCGGCGATATTTTACGTGAGGTATACGACGAAGTTTTTTGTACGATAACAATTTTTATAGCTTGGAAATTAATTTGGGAATAAATGAAATTAATTTCGAAGTCCAGTGAAAGCCTCTCATGAAATAAACATAATTGTTTGTACAGAAAGTAAGGACCTACGTAGATCAAATTTTCTTTAAATTAAGTGATAACAGAAGAATTATCATTGAACTTTTGAAAGGTAAGCTTAAATATTAATGCATTACTTAAATACAGCGATCAATTTTGAGGTCTTCTTCAGTTTATTGTTGCCTATCGCACCTTCTCCTCCCTAAATATTGTGATGAAAGCCCAATCGATGGTTTCATATTGTTATTATTATTATCATTATTATTATTATTAATAGTAGTAGTAGTAGAAATAATAATAATAATAATAATACCTTGAAATAGAAATCTCGAAAATGTGGCATATGGTGACATCAACAATCCCTGTTGTAGTTGGAGCCCTAGGACTGGTTGGAAAAAATTGCAGTAGACTAATTGAAGGGATTCCTGGAAGTCCATGTCTGAAGGAGATACAAAAAATTGTTCTGACAAGTACAGCCCACACTTTACGACGTTCTTTATCTATGTAATTTCTTTTTTTTTCCTTTTTTTTTGTTAGTGGAAAGTGTCATGCTGCCATTTCTAAACTTAGGTCTCTGGGCGGGACCCAGAAAGAAATGTGTAAACGCCAAAAATCAAAGAAAATAAAAATAAAAATAATAATAATAATAATATTTTCGTTGTTTCACACTCAAACATCCGAACATAAACAGATATTTGTTTTATAAAACTTTATATCTTCAGATTTTCTTTCCACGAACTTTTCCCATCTCTTCTAAGAATACTGTTATTTGCTACCATAACTTTTATTAAATTGTAATCAATTTTATTCGACGATGATTTTTTTTGTTCCTTTTCTGTATTCGAAGGACTATTTGCCCTTGCCTAGTTTCATTCGCTGCCGAACGATGTATTACTCTCCATTTATTCTGAAGCCATAAACTCCTTCATTGGATCGACAAAACAAAGACAGCAACAATCACCTTATTCCCGAGCAACAAATCTTTCATATTCTTTAAAATATCTGCCATATATGATTTTATTCGCAGGATTTGGCCTTGCGTGGCTAGGATGAGTATCCTTGTTTCTTTAGTCAACCGAAATTCCTCAACTGTTCATGCGTCACATTTTCGTCGGTATCAACGTTTCAAACTGACTATTCATTTCATAATGATTTTTCTTCCCATTTGGCGTTTTATCTTTTTGCTCCATCTTCCTTTCTTTCAATATTTAATTTATCATATCCTATTTAAACATTGCTCTATCTATCTATCTATCTATCTATCTATCTATCTATCTATCTATTAAAGAGTCCTCCCCTTTTTACACAAATGGACTCACCCAGTATATACATATACTACTGTTACGTGAAGACCAGACAGACAATACAAGGGAGTGAATGGTTGTCGATAACCGGAAGAGTGAGAGTAAGGTAATAGACAGACAGAAAGACCTAACGAACGTAGCGAGCAAGAGTCACAGTGAGTGAGCACGTAGACACAGTAAGAAGTCATACAGCGATACTTCAATACCAAAGAATGTATAGATATTTTGCTACTAACCCGTATTCCTGGAACTACTAACCTGCATTACCGGTTTGTATTATTACGTTAATACATTATTTTCCTATATTCATTCTTGGCCTTTGTTTTTTATTGGTACCGGATTTCATCCCGGAATCCACAACACTATCTATCTATCTATCTATCTATCTATCTATCTATCTATCTATATATATATATATATATATATATATATATATATATATATAGATATATATATATATATATATATATATATATATATATAATTATATATATATATATGTTTATCTATTGAATGGATTAATAGATGATTATGCCTGTGCAAATAAGCTCAAAGATTTCCGCTTGACATGCTTTCTAATATACGACTAATGAGCAAACCTTCCCCGGATTTCTTGATTGCTTTCACTGTTTTACGTTTGAAATTGCTAAAATAAACGTAATTACTATTCTCATAGTTTCCTTTCGCGTACTTCTCGCCTGTGGAATTAATTTCTGGTTTCTTGCTTTACACCCCCTCCTCCAATATTTAGATACAACGCCAAACGCTATGTTAAGTTTTTGTCTTCATGAATCTTTATTTTTCATTGACATTTCTCCACTTTAATAACTTTTCAGTCTCTTACTTTAAGTAACCCCTTAGTAGCATTATCGCCTTATTTGAGACGAAATGATTAAACAAAATAAATTGCAAGCTTCACTTCGTACATAAGAAAAACTCCGGTGTATATCGTTACTGCCTAATCTAGTTTGTGACGCTTATGAACAATGTTATCTGATAATACGAGTAAAAAGACAAACACGATATCAAGGTCGGATTATATGACTTGGCTGAGCATATACATCTATAGGAGTGGAGCATGTGTTTATATTTACAAGTCTGGACTCCCTTGCCTTACCTGTGAGCGAAATTGTGGCTCAAATATCGGCCTCTCCAAGAACATGAAATAGGATCAGCGCCAATATCACTGAACGCCCGCTTTACCCCTCGTATACATTACCTTCCAACCCCATTCTACAGTCATCCTCATACAGCTGAACGAGTTAAAAGTATAATTATTTTACCTCGGGCCTGGCAGAGAACGTTCCTTAACAAAACGTTTACTTTAATGAGAAGAACATAAAATGTTAGGTTCTTTTAAGGGGCTCCACTGTCTGGCACAGTCTCGCACCAACTCCAGATGTTAACGTTAAATGCAATCAACTCCTGTCAAAACACAAATCCTTCATCATCGGGCACCCATTTCAACAAAGTCTGATTTTCTTGCAATAACAATCATTTAGATGGATTTTTTTCTCAGAGTGATGGGGGCCACTGCTGTGTAAGCAAATGTAAGTGCTTACTTTCTTTTTCAATAGTGTGAGTTAAATCATATCCTAAAAGCCAACATTAAGCCTTCGAATGTAAGCGTTCGTCATTTCCAAGACCACACACGATAACATTATTCAACAAAAACAATGAATTTTTTCATGTCCTCTTAAAACGAGTCACCCACTTTTCACTTTATTATTAGTGTTGTTATTATTGATATTATTTCAAAAGAAATTCAACCAGTGGTTTTCGCCGGAAAGAATGTCATGTCAACTAAGCAGATAGTACCAGTCTTCGCGAAGTTATCAGGAGAATGGTTATCATAATTTTTGATCGCATTACCAACAAGTACACCAACGACAACTTAATTTGAGAACCATTACGATTGTTCCAGCGATGATGGACAAATTCAGTTCAATCGTAATTCCACCTGATTTTCCCCAAAGAAGGGAGTCTCTACTGAGTGATATGGTCATGGATTTCTGTCAATGGCTTCTGATGTCATCTGCAAATTAGATCTTCACGAGGCCTGAAACTGTTTTAATGAAATGTCTTCCTAAACTGGCTCCTGCCCTCTTGCTTTTCGGCATAGTGGAGATCCTTTCATTGAATTTCTGACTTGAAGAAATCTGGTGAACATTCTGATTCCTTGAATTTATTACCCTGTTACTCTTTTACCGCTTTTTGATAAAGTACCAAATATTCGAATCAATTCGAATCATCATAAAATTGTCTATGCATCTCCCTTCACATAGTCTTCTATCGTATAACAGCATGGCTTTCCTTTATCCGGGTCTACTGGGAATATGTTAGCGGTTATATCTCCATCAACCTTCAGTTAGTGACGGTGAGGTTGTGGCTGTGGCTTTAGATCTCTCGAATACGTTTGACAGGTTTTGGCATTCTGGTATTTTCCAGAGGAAAAAGGGCTATGTTTTCTGGATGAATATTT